CCGCGGTCGACTACGTGGGAGTCCAGCGACATAGCCATTACGCTAACTGCTGGTTCCCCAGACAGTGAATTTTTATGAAAAAGTGTCAGAGGATTACAACTGGGAAAAGGCATAAGAAGTCTGTTAATATTTCTTAATATTCAGTGTCATTCATTAAAATGAACATTTGTTTTCGGCATCTGTACACTTAACGTGATAGTCAGATTCCAAGATGGTCCTCAATGATCTCCACTTCTGGTATTTACAACCTTGTACAGTCTGTCCCACACTCAACCGGGGTTGGTCTGTGTGACCACAGGATATGGGAGAAATGATGGTTATGCCACTTCTGATATTTGGTTATAAAGCTTCCATACTGAATGTGTATATTCTTTCTCTCTCTCTCCAATCACCTAGAGCAAGCCAGCAGCCATATTGTGAGGCTACTCAGGTAGCTTATGGGAGGACACATATGGAGTATCTAAGGAATAGTTAACAGATAGCAGGAACTAGGTCGGTTAAAAATCATGTGAGTGAACTTGGAATTAAGAACCTATATATATATATTTTTTTCTTTTTTTTGAGAGGTTTTTGCTATAGGGCGCATGCACTCGCCAGACAGACAGAGAGAGAAAGAGAGACAGAAAGCGAGAAATCACCCCCCAGAGGGGATGGCCATGCTGCAATCCCTTCTCCTCCATTCTCCTCTCGGGATCTTGGGCACGCATACACGCACACGCATCCGGCATGACTTTAAGGCACTGGGTCTGGGACTTGAACCACGGTAGACTACGTGGGAGTCCAGCAACATAGTCATTATGCCAACTGCTGGTCCCAAGTCTCTCTAAATTAAATGTGCAGGTGATTTTAGCTCTGAAGGACGATTTGACTGGGACCTCTAAGAGACCACTAGTCCTGTGTCAAGCTAAGCCACACTCAGATTCCTAAACTTAACAAAGTGTATAATAAATGTCTGGTATTAAATAGCCAAGTTTGAGGGTAGTTCATTATATAGTAACAGGTAACTAATACACAGAAAATAAAATTTTTGAAAATAAATCTTAGAACTAGTATTCCCTAGCCAATAGAGTATCTTTTTTTCCCCTCACACTACATTTTTTATTCTACATTGTTAATATGCAAGATATCCCTTACCTTGAGAAACAGTATCACACCTAAAATACATTTTCATAAACACTGAATATTAAAACATTATATGACACTATGGATTGAACAGAAGTGAACACAAGCACGTATTCTCCAAATTTCTAGTCTAGAAGAGTATCTTCCCCAGTAAACTTAGAATATGAATTTCTGGGGTTTTACAAAATTCTATTTTCACAGTAAGTCAAAAGTTAAAAGTAAAGACAATCAAAAGAAAAATTAGCCCTTAGTTATTAATAAAATTAAATGTTTCAAAGATACTTTAATTGACAGAGGCAAGAAAAGTAACTTGAGGTCAAAATACTTGGGGAGACACAAAAGGCTTCATAAGACTCCTGAGTCTAATAAAAGACTGATGAATGTTCTGTTCACTCTTGAAAAGAAATAAATAATAAGCTACGTTTTAGTAAGCAAGTTGCCAAAAATTCTGTATCAACCTTTCCCAAAGAAATTACTTATAGCTGTGCAAATCGAATAAGTATACTTGTAAAATTCTTGAAAATCTCTACCAAGAAATTTCAGATTATGTGCTGTTCTAATGTTGCTATTGGAAAGACCTACAATTCACTGAGGCTTTTCTTGATGAAATAATAGAACTATGACTACGACTGTCCCTTATTTCTGACCAAGATGACCCAGAAGTTTCAGAAAAGTCTATGCTTTGAAACAGCTGCTTCATAGGCATGATAGAATTTGGTTCCAGGTTGCAAGCAGATCATTCTGTGCCCACTCTCCTTTGATTAGAGTTTGGAATGGCAAGGTAAGAGATGAGAGGAGAAAATTTCAATAGCAGAGAACTGAAACCAATGTGAATAACATTTAAATGACATTTAGCACTGCCTTAAAAGAGTTAAAAATTACAGTAGATCATTTATTTGGCTGACATGGTGAAATTTCAGCCTATTTATTTTAGAATAGTAAAAATGGCCCAGCCACAGTGGTATAGGCAGTAAAGTGTTGCTTCACAACATTAGAGCCATACAGTAGGCTCAGGGTTCAGATCCCAGGTCAATTTGGACAGACAGGACACACATGAGCTTGCTGGCCAGAGGGCTATGTTTATGTGTGGGGTGATCACAGGTGTAAGTACCTATATCTCCTTCTTTCCTTCTTTCTCCCACTCTCTAAGAAATAAATACTTTTAAAAAGTAAACAATGAGAATGACTAATACAGAGATACATGTTTCCCTGATTTTAATAAGAACATAAATCACCTACTAAAATATTACTTACACCATGTCTTTTCAAAATCTCTCCAGACCCAGCAGCAGCAGTGTAGACAACAGAGTACCACTGTGCAATGCTGGAGCCATATGAGTGCCTGAGCCACATTAGATCCCAGGTCGACTTGATTATGTGAACATGCTCGTGATCCTGGTTGGCTGTGGGGAGGATCATGACATGGCAAGACCCAGTCAGGAATAGAAAAAAATAAAACCCAAAGTAGAAAGAGACTTACTGACCCTTTTTCATTATTTTCTTTTTTGGTGTAGGGGTACATGAAATAAGTGCACAAGCAAACCCTGGGTCTTCTTTAACCTTAGAAAATCCTGCTAAAGAAAAACAATGAAATCATTAACATATTTAAACATTAATTCACTTCTATGTTTAGGTTCGGGTACTTTCTGAGGATAACAGAGTATCACTTTCATACTATTTTGAGAGCTTTTGTTATTAAAAAAAATTAAAAACTATTTGGTAACCAAAATTGCCACCTCTGACACTAAACGTGTATTTCCAGTTCAGAGAGCTAATATAGTCATTCATTATCAGACTGTTACTTCTCTTAAGGAAGAACAGTGAGAGAAGTAACAGGCATATGCAAAGTGATTCGGATCTCAAGTAGAAAATTTTTTTCAAGGAAATAAGATACCTGACTTCTAATGAAGCTGTCAAATTTTCACCCAAGTGGTGATCAAATTATTTACCAAATACAATGCAATTTCTCAACTAATTAGGAATACAGTATGATTTAAATTAGAAGAAATTATTTGAATTAGAGAAAAATAAAGTATGTTTTAAAGACAAAGGTTAAAAACATACTAATTAGTTTTACATCTGTATAATTAATGTTTGTGAATGAACAACAATAGTAATGTCAAGGTACTCCCAACCTAATTTTGTAATCCGTATTTACACATAAACTTACAAGGTTTTTACTGAAGTCATGTTATAAGTAGTAGAAAATTATTTTCTGTTTAAACTTGGATTAAATATTACCCCTTAGACTTTATTTTAAAACTTTTAATTCAATCTCCCTAATTCACTTAATTCAATTAACACGCATGGCTAGCACAAGCTTCATGGATAATTCAAATGTAAACATCAGCCAAGATTAAGATCTATCACCAAAAAATTCCAAGCTAGAGAGACACAAATCAATGAAGTTTTACTTTAATAATTTTCTCATGTGGATTATGGGTATTAAGAAGATACACATACCTTTTGCCCTGTTTTTAGTCTCTGACTGTGTATTTTTCAGTTTGCCTAAAAGCAAAACCAAAGGAAACATAAAAATAGGCATACTACAAGATTAGAATTTAGGCTGTATTTTCAAACCACACCCACTACATTTACCTTTCAGTTTCTGTGGAAATTCACTTGTCTCAATTTCCTCTGAATCACTGCTTTCAATGTTTTGGACAATAGTTTTTCTTCTAAAAATTAAGTATAGACAATGAAATTTTTTACCAATTCAACCCATAAGGAGATATAAAAACATGTTTAATATATGAATATAGGACTCGTACCATAGTTTAATGGTTAAGGAGTCAAATTCCACATGGCTAGTAGTGGTTCAAATCTCAGCCCACCAGGAGTGTATATATGCACCCCCAACAGCATATATATTTGCATATGCAATACGAATGAGTTTGTCCTGCCCTTTCATATTTTGAAAATCTTTTAAGAAAAATTTTTGACAATAAGAAAAACTTTTTGACAAATGAAATCAATCAAATCTGCTTTTTAAAAAGCATTCTTTATCTCTCTCCTCATTGCCTGAGGACAAATGCACTCAACAGAGAGAGGAAAAAGACATAGAAAAAAGGGGAAAAAAAAAGAGCAAGAAAGAAAGCCCTCCCCAACAGGCTGGTCGCACCACAGTCCTTCTGCCTCCTCCATCCTATCAGGATTTTGGGTGCACACACACATCAGTATTTTTCAAGTCACTGGGGCTGAGGCATGAACCAGGTAGCAACATGGGAACCAGTTCCCAATGCACGGCACTTACCTATGAGGCCAGCCTAGGGCATTCTGCTTTCGAACAGCAGTACTATCAATATTAAAATAAATTTGAAAAACTAAGTCATTCTAAAAAGAGGAATCATTTCAATATTGCAGTTCAATACTTGGTAATTCCATAAAAACAAACAATGTAATAATGGTATCTACACCCTAATGATTATTAAAGTACTATTTACAATAGTGAATACATGAAATCAACCTAGTATCCATCAACAGATAAACAGATAAAGAAAATAAACAAATGGAATGCTATTCAGCTATTCCTGTCATATGAGGTTAACATGGAAGGACCTAGAGGACTTTATATTAAGTGAAATAAGCCAAGTACTGCAAAAAAATAAATAAAAAATAAATAAAACTATGTACTTATATACATATGGAAACTAAAAAGGATGACTTCATTTAAGTAGAGAGTAAAAGAATGACTACCAGAGATTAAAAATGGTCCACAGGAGGGAAAATTAACATGATGTTAACAGAAACAAAATTACAGATACATAAGAAAAACAAGTTCTTCTACTATAAAGTACAGTGGGGTTAACTATAGTTAACTTATTTTGTGTCTCAATAGCTAAAAAAGGATTCTGAAATTTTCCAACACAAATAAATGATGAAGGTTGAGATGATAGATGTGCTAATTATCCTGATTTGATCATTACACATTGTTTTCTTGTACTGTGATATCATGTTTTACCCCGTAAGTATGTACAATGATGTCACTTAGAAAAATTCATGTGAGAGGCTGGCAGGTGGTATAATGTTGTAGTGATTAAGGCGCTAGACTCCCACATGGCCAACCACGGTTCGAGTCTTGGACCTGGTGCCTTGCTCTCTCACTTTCCCTCTCTCTCTCTCTCTCTCTGGTCAAATAAAATAATAATAATAGTATAAAATAATTCTTTAAAAAGTAAATAGACAGAAACATTAATTTTTAAAAAAAAATCATATGAAACTAGTATTAAAAGAACTGGCTCTTCTCAAAGAACATATTTCTAATATAAGCTGAGTATCTCTTAATTCAAAAATCTAGTATCTATAATGTTCCATAATCTAAAATTTTTTGGGTGCCAACATGTCACAGGAGAAAAATTCCACACTTGACCTCACATGAGAGGTAGTGGTCAAAATGCTGTAATACAAAAACCACTGTGAAAGTCAAGAGTATGTGCATAATGTGTATACAAAACATACATGAATTTTATGTTTAGACTTGGGTACCATCCTCAAGATACATTACACATGTGTGAATATTTCAAATCCAAAATAATCTGAAATCAGAAACACCTTATCCTAAGCATTCAGGATAGGAGTACTCAACCCATATAATAGAATAAGCAGCCAAAAGGCAAAAACAATTTTTCTTGCAATGAGACAATTTCATAATTTCGTGTAAAACATACCATTGTATAATAGTAAAATTTTGAGTAACTAAGGACAACAAACTGTGTAATCATACTACCTGGATTCAAATCCTCATTGTACTAGTTTGCCATGTAACTTTAGGCAAATCACCTAATTTTCTTCTATGCGTCTGTCTCATTTGGAAAATAGGCTCCATGCAGGGGTAAAAATAAGAAAAGCACTACTCAAGAGAGCCAGATCCCTATGGCAACCATGATTTGAATTCCCAGCCCAATCAATCTTGGTATGCAATAGGCAGGAATACAGGTCCCCAAAATAGGATGGGCTGAAGGACCGGAGGAAGAAGATGTCAACATGACCAGACCCTGTGGAGGTGCTCATTTCTCTGTCACTTGCACATGTATACATTATCATTAATTTTTTAAAAAGTTTTTAAATTTTACTCAAGCGAAAGTCTCTAAAATAATGCCCATTGCACAGTAAGTATATAAGTATCAGCTGTAATATGTGTGTTGGCTGTTACTAGGTTTTCCCATGTCCTAATCATTATTTCCATGTCTTTTCATCTGAACTGGTCTACCTGACAGTACTCGTAACCCACACTTATGGTCAGTTCAAAGTATATGATTTCAGATTTAGAAAGGTGAGTGCTGGGTTTGTGCTCAGTTCACATGGCATGAATGACAGCAACAAAGCCACAGGTGTGAGATCTCTGTTTGTGGAATAGCTAGCAAATAGGTCTGATGTGATATCTGTAGAGACTGACAGAAGGCAATAGAACAAAAACCCAGTAGTTAAGATACTTTAGAGGATATATAAGTTTGCAAAGTTAACAGATTCAAGGTAGGATCAGAGAGGAGTTAGGTATTTTATTAAAATTCTCCCTCTAGTCTATGTTAATACAATGCTCTCTATAAGTAATTTTATGTTGTATTTCCACAACAGGTAAAGTGAGAAAGAACTAAGATAAGCAAAGAATGGTTTTGTCAAGCCATTCAGTTTTCATCCCCTCAAATCCATGAAGAAAACTCTCTAGTCTCAATGAAAACAAAAACAACTCAGGAGCTAGATCTTAGCTCCTAGGTGCAAGAAACAGGAAAAAAGTGGTAGAAAGATAATTATTTAAAATCACCAATTCATTTATTTTACTCAACATTATTTTTCTTCACCTGTAAAATAAAAACACCCTATGTATCTAAGTTATTGTGATTTCAGCAATTCCAAATAAAGAAATGAATTTGAAAGACTACATAACTGAGATATGATGGTCATCTCTCCCTTCTATACTTAAGAAAACACAGGAAAAAGTTAATAGCATATATAATCAAACCATAATAGTTTACCTTTTGGGGCGGGAACCAGCCAGTTTTGCCATGGGATACTTATTTTTTTCCTTGACATCTGAAATACTGGGTCCTTCACACCTAGATCCTTGTATTTCAAAGAAAAAAACAAATATACAAAGAATCAGTAAATTGTCACTGGCCAGCTGTCTTAAAACCCTGGTTTTCCACAATGGATGTGCAAGTGTTTTTCTAACTGCATGTGTTTCTATCCTTTGGGGAGATAGCCAGGAGTGGAACTGCTGGATCATATGATATGGTAGTTCTATTTGGATGTGTTTGAGGAGCCTCCATATTGTTCTCCACAATGGCTGTACTAATTTACATTCCTAACGCTCCTAACAATGTAAGAGAGTTCCCTTTCTTTTCACCACAGCTGCACCAGCACTTATCATTCTTATGTTTTTATTTATTTTTTATTTTTTTTAATTTTAGCCATTCTGACTGGGGTTAGGTGGTATCTTATTGTGGTTTTGATTTGCATCTCCCTTAGGGTAAGGCATGGAATCAACCCAAATATCCAAGAATAGATGAATGGATAGAAAGAGTATGGCACATACACACTAGAGAATACTACTTAGGCATAAAAAATGAGACCCTGGCATTTGCTAGAAAGCGGATGAATATATAAGTTTTAATGAATATAGAAGACTAAATGCTAAGTGAAGCAAGCCAGACTATCAAAGAGAGGCACTGTATGTCCCCACTTAATAAGTACCGAATGTATGCACTCTATGGTAGAAACTGAAAGATTAGAAAGTAGAAAACCCCAGAGAACAACTGTAGCTTGGGGTTGGGGGGTGAAAAGGATAGGGAGGGGATCAAGGGAAAAAAGAAACAAAACATTTAAGGGACACAAGAACAGGGAATTAACTGTTGATGATAACGTGTATAGTAGTATCTCTGATTGGTCTAATATACAGGGTATTCATGCTGGGAAAATTCACTTTGTATGCTGTAAAGATATACACTGATTAAATGTAAAAAAAAATTAAATTTAAATTAAAAATTAAAACGAACCCTGGTTTCCAATTATTAATCTTCAGTTTTATTAACATCTTTATTACTTTCAAATCCCTTTTCTCAGTCAATCAGCCAGTTTACTTTCTACTTTTTCCCAATTTAGTATTTTCTCATTTGAAAGAAAGTACCTACAATTTTTTATGGCCCCGTCTTTCTCCTATACTCATTCATTCAACAAACCCAACCCTGGCTGAATTTCCTATTCTACTAAGACAGCTAAGAACTGCTGAAAATAAATAAAAACACAACCACAAATAGGTGTTACTCTAAATTTACATTTTTAAATCTCAGCCATCACCTTACATTACTTAGCAACTTTTAATTATTACTGTTCAGCTCACTTTCCTATTTACCAAAACGATCTATATTACATTGGATCCTTTACCTAGATTCTAACTCCTATTTTTACCAGATGACCTCCTTCACTACAAAGAAAAATAGGATGACACAGTCTATAAAATCCTGATTTTTCTACCCTAAAATCCTTCATTTGTATTTTTTCCTTCAACTTTACTCCTTTCCTTCTAACGCTTATTAATCTACCTTCTCACTTACACCCTTTCCTCCTATAGGCCTACTAATTGTTATTCTTGCTATTGTACCCAGAAATCATTTCTAATCCATATATTTCTTTCTTACAACAAAAACAATAAAAGCCTACATTCAATTCTGCCTCCCTTCGAATTATTCTTCTATTTCTCTCACCCAGCACAAATTAACAAAATAAACACATAACCGGTACTTCCAATTCTTTACTTACTATCCTAAGCTTAAAATATTTTCAGTCTTATTCTACTCTAACCTATGATAAAATTAATTCTGCACAGGCCATATGACTACTAACTCCAAAGATCTCTTGTTTCTCTTCACTTCAGAATTTAGCTCTAATATATCTTTCTAGCTTTATATCTGCTGTTATTCACATACATTATATTATAAAGACCATAAAATACACTAAGGTTCCAGAATAAGACATGCTCTTTTTTTAAATACTATTTTGCCACAGGGCACATGTGCTAGCCAGAGTGAGACAGAGATAGAGGGAAAAGTGAGAAACCACCACCTTCCCATGGCCAAAATACAATTCCTTCTCCATTCTCGACTCAAGATTTGGAGTACTACCATTCACTACATCACCTGCTAGCCCCACATAATTCCGTATTGGTTTTTCTTTTTTTTCTTTCTTTTTTTTTTTTTGCTATGGGATGCATGTGCTTGCTAGAATGAGAGAGACAGAGAGAGGGAGTGAAAAATCACCTCCCAGAAGAGATGGCTACACTGGAATCCCTTCTCCTCCAGTCTCCTCTCTGGATTCTGGGTACATACACACTTGCACCCAACATGATTTCCAAGTAGCTGGGTCCAGGACTCGTATCACAGTCAGCCATGTGAGAGTCCAGTGCCTTAACCACCACTTCTACAAGTGGGCCCCCACGCCTTTTTTTTTTTTTTTAATAAAAAAGAATTGTTTCAATTTTTAACTTATCATCATTATTTAACTTGACTAGAGAAATAGAGACAGGGAAAACAAAAAAGCAAGTCACTCAGTTGGAGACTCAAAGCACAGTCGGCCGTGTGGGAGTCCAGCACCTCAACCACGAAGCCACCTGCCAGCCCCGATACTCTTTTTTTCACTGCCCTTTCATGGGATATCTTTTTGTCAATCAAAAATGCTCTTCTCCAGCTTCTCTGATTGGTATACCACCACTCAAATCAGTCATCTCCTTTAGGAAACCTATCTTAACTTCTAGCCCTCAGAACGTCTTTTGCAAAACAAAATCTTAAATGTTATATAGTACAAAAGCCAAAACTGAAATAACATTATAAGGTTGGAATAATGTAAATAAAATATTGGGTCATATTCAAAATTAAAATTTACCTTTGCTTATTAGTCCATCTTCCTTTTCAGTAATATTGTTTCCTCCAAGTTTCATGGATTCACCACTAACATTATATTCCTGGGTGAAAAAGAGTATTTCTTAAATGGTACTGCTCTAAATTTTAAATAATTCTTACCTTATATTGCTTTATTTTACATAATCAAGACTACTTACATTGCTATCCAATTTTGGGTCAGTGATGGGGATTAATAAGTGAAAAATCTACAAAATCATTAAAATTTTTTTCATAGGTTTTCTCAAAAAAAGAAAATTAGTCAATCGCCACCTTTTCAAAAGGAATATAAAAAGTAAACCTTAATTATAAATGGTATATTCGTGGCTGGAAAAAAAAACTAAGAATCCCCAGACTATACACCAAGATTCCCTATTCAGTAAATACTCAATTTTCAATTAGACTACTAACCGCCATCCTCTTTTTCTCTGACATTTTCAGGGCAGCTAGATGCAATAATTCAGGTCACAGTGTCCTCCCCTCATACCCTCTAGCAGGGGTTTTCCTGCCAGTCTTGACTTTTCTTCTTCTCTTTATGTATACCCTTCTTTCAAACATTAGCAGTGTATATATGAATCCAAAAAATGTCCATAAAGGCAAAATTCTAATCTCATTATAAAATCACGAGAGTTTGGTTTTACTAAAAATGTAGTTGAAAACATCTATCCACTTCTCACTGTATAGTCTAAACAAAATTAAAAATCTTTAGACACTTAACTAGAAGAGTTATTTTAGATGATGAAGTTTTTAAACATTGAGAAATATGTTAAAATTTGTAATTAATACAATTTTTTTCAGGGCTGGAAGGTGGCATAGTGGTTAAGGGCACTGGACTCTCATATGGCCAACCACAGTTTGAGTACTGGACTTGGTGGTTTGTTCACTTTCCCTTTCACGCACTCTTACTCTGTCCCTCTCTGATCAAATTAAAATAAATACATAAAGTTAAATAATTCTTTAAAATTATTTTCAACATTCAATCAGTATAATCATTTACATTAAATAGTATTTTAAAAACCTAAGTGTATACATATATAGAGATAGTCCTTTACATTATTCTTTATATTACATTATTTTGGTCAGCAAGCTTTTCTTCACAAAGTTCAAAGATCAAGTTTCTATCAGGTACAATCCAGATTAAATCATACCAGAATCCAATCTAAACAAATTTAAATTGATGACACTTCACTTTGATTAAGTTTGAAATACTTCAACCTATTTGAAATAGTGAGCTTTTTGGTTGGTATATGTTCTTGGCTGGAAATTATATTCCGGGACCAGCAGTTGCCATAATAGCTATGTTGCTGGACTCCCATGTAGTTGACTGTGGTTCAAGTCCTGGACCCAGTGGTTTAAACTCACTCCGGGCGCGTGTGCATGCATGCCCAAGATTCTGAGAGGAGAATGGAGAAGGGATTACAGCGTGGCCATTCCCTCGGGGGGTGATTTTTCGCTGTCTCTCTCTGTCTTTCTGGCAAGCGCATTCCCCATAGCAAAAACCTCTGCAAAAAAAAAAAGAAAATCTAAAAAGAATAACTGAATTTCCATTTCCATTATTGTAGTACAATAAACATTCTAAAACCTCTTTACTGTAAATACTTTTTTTCTTTTAGTTATTTTCACCATAAGGCATGTGCGCTCATTAGAGACAAAGAGAGAAAAATCAGCCCTTAGGGGGATGGTCATGGTTCAATCCCTTCTCATCCACTCTCTTCTCAGAATTCTCAGTACACAGGCACACACGCCCAGAGTGATTTTCAATCCACCTGGTCTAGGACTCAAACCACAGAGCTGGCCACGTGGGATTCAGCACCATAATCACCATGCCACCTGCTGGTTAAATATTATACAACACTCTTAAATGTATGACTGATCTTGGGGGGAGGCGGGAAGAGTAATCCTTACTGACAGTAATTTTTCAGTTGATAAGAGTCTTAAGTTCCATACAGTCTTATATTCATGCCTCTACCAGTAATCTGGTAACCTAGCATACTAGTTTCAATAACCAAATATAGGAAGAATAAAACATGAAGCTTTAGACTATTCAAGGTTAGAAACTGAATCTGAAGGTCTTACAGGTTAAATTCCCTATACAAATAGAAAGAAGGAAATGCAACAAAGTGTAGAAATTAATAACATAAAATCTCAAAAAGGCAAGAAATTGGGACCAACAGTTAGCATACTGGCTATGTTGCTGGACTCCCATGTAGTTGACCACAGTTCAAGTCCCAGACCAGGTGGCTTAAACTCAAGAATGTGTGCATGCCCAAGATCCTGAGAGGAGAGTAGAGGAGGAGGGACTGCAGCGTGGCCATCCTCCCGAGGGGGTGATTTCTTGTTTTCTGTCTCTCTGTCCTTCTGGCGAGCACACACGCCCTACAGCAAAATCCTCTCCAAAAAAAAAAAACAAGAAAGTGATGTCCAGATTGAATATTAAAAATAAGAAGAATGATAGTTCTTTCAGAGAAGTTATAAGAATTCTGTATATACCTTTCTGCTATTTCCTACTTGAACGTCTTTGGATTTTCTCTTTAAACTAAACAACTTTTAAATTTTCTTAACTTTCATAAACTGAATATAAATATCTTATATGTATATATATCGTATATATACTAAAAAATCAAAAAGGTCATCCACATTCTTATCATAAGGACATAAATACCATTAACATTTTGGTACATAGGTATTAATAAACTGAAGACACACAAAATATATATTTATAAAATAAAGACTCAAACCCCACACATGGTTTTGTACCTTTTTTTGTTTGTTTTTTAAATAGGATGAGGACCAGCAGGTGGCAAGGAGGTAAGGAGGGTAGATCGCACATGGCCAACTGAATGGTTTGAGTCCTAGACCAAGAAGCTTGAAAATGACACAGAGTATGTGTGCCCAAATGACCAAAATCCCAAGGGGAAAATGGAGAAGGAACTATGGCATGGCCATCCCCACTGGGGGCTTATTATTTCACTTTCCCACTCTCTCTCTGTTTCTCTCCAGCAAACACATATACCTAACAATATAACTTAAAAAAAAAAAAAAAGATGAAAATGAGTATTCTTCAAAATGAAGATTTTGTAGCAATTTTATGACTCTATCATAATTTAAGTGTTCCCTTATGAAGAGATTTTCAGTCTAACTTTAAAATTATGTTCAGAAAGAAAAATCTACTATCAACTTGGAAAAAATAGATTTTTGGTTACTATTTTAAATAATCTCTTGGAGATGGCAATACTGACTGGATCAAAGATTAAAAACATGTTTTTTGTTTGCAAGTGAGATTTCTGTTGTAAGGGTGCATGTTCTTACCAGAGAGATCGACAGAAAGTGAGAAATCTTTCCCCAGGGAGGATGGCCATACCAAAAATCCCTTCTCTTCCATTCTCCTCTTGGTATTTTGGGCACACATGCACACTCACCCAGTTTGAGTTCCAAGCCAGCAAGTCTGGGACTTGAATCATGGTTGACCATGTGGGAGTCCAGCAATGCTACTATTACACCACCTGCTGGCCTGATTATACACTTTTTTTTTTTTTTTTTGTTACCCCCCCTGTGGGGCTGTTTTTCCACTTTTTTTTTTTTTTTTTTTGAGAGGTTTTTACTATAGGGCACGGGCACCTGCCAGAGAGACAGACAGAAAGCGAGAAATCACTGCCCCCAAGGAGGATGGCCACACCGCAATTCCTTCTCCTCCACTGTCCTCTTGGGATCTTACACACGCACACACATGTGCCCAGCATGAGTTTAAGTCACCAGATCCAGGACTCAAACCACGGTCAACTACATGGAAGTCCAGCAACATAGACATTATGCCATCTGCTGGTCCCTATAAATGTTTTAAAGCTATTGATATGTATTAGCAACTGCCCTCAAGAATGTGGTATCAACTTTCAATCTTAACAATGCATGAAATAAATCATTTATTACATTTCTGAAAACATCAGATACTGTCAATTTCTTAAAAGTTAATTTTTAAAGAATAAATTTAAAAATTTAATAGTAAATAAGAGATTTCACAGAAAGTGCTCTAATACTTTACCTTTTTTAGTTGATTCTTTTTCACTCTTTCAATAGGAAGAGGCTTGCCATCATGAAAGTTGGTAAGAATTACTGCAATGGCGGTAAGAGTTTTACCCTTTAAAATGTTATTAAAAGACAAATGGTCAGATTCTGAAATACAGTTGATCAGAACACATCCCAAAACAAATTTTGAAATCAAGAAGTTACACACTATCAAGGTCACAGAAGTATATTATTATATTAAATAATAGAACTATATGGGTCTACTTATGCATGGAGTTTTTCAATATATATTGGAAAACATAGTACATTATTACATATTTCTTATGACTTTCTTAGTACTATTTTATCTAACTTAAAGAATGTAGTATATGGGGCCAGCAGTCAGCATAGTGGTTGTGGCACCACATTTCCAACTGTGGTTTGAGACCTAGACCTGGTGGCTTGAAAATCACACCAGGCACATGTGTGTGTGTGTGTGCCCAAATTCCCAGGAGGAAAATGAAAGAGAAGGGAATGCAGCGTGGCCATCCCCTCTGGGGGATGATTTCTCACTTTTCCTCCTATTGCTTGTCTCTCTGATGAACACACATGCCCTAAGACAAAAACTTTAAAAAACAAAAGAATGCAGTATGTAATACATATAATACACAAGATATGTGTTAATTGAGGGTTTCCATTACTGGTAAAGAAGGCTTCTTGTCAACGGTAGGCTATTAAGTTCTTGAGGGAGTCAAAAGTTATACATACAGTTTCAACTGTGTATGAGGTCAAGATTCCCTAACTCTTGCACTGTTCACAGATGAACTGTACTTGTTAATAAAAAGTGAGTATTTCATTTAATTAGGAAATGCTTTCCCCCTTACTGAATTATTAATATTAAACAATGTACACTATAAAATATTGTAAGCATCTCTGAGAAATGTCATCTTATCAAATAACCCTGTACAATTCTATCATAAAACTACTTATAACTACTTGTTTGCTATGAAGTTAATTTGAAAAGGTTCATAAAAATGATCAGTGGTGTTGGCACCACGGCCTGGTAGTGAAGAAAGTCACTGGGAAAGAGGGGTACTTTCTCCCTCATCCTTTCTTTGAAGAATGTATACACTTTCTGGCAATAAAAAAAAGAAGAAAAGAGGGGCAAGGAGGAGGCATGATGGTTAAGGCACTGGACTCCCCTGTGATCAACTGCAGTTAAAGTCCTGAACCTGGTGGCTTGAGACTCATGCACAAGTGCGTGGTGTGCCCAGAATCCCAAGAGAAGAATGGAGAAGGGATTGCAGTGTGCTCATACACCACCCCCTGGGGAGGCGATTTCTCACTTTGTCTCTCGGGCAAGCGTGCATGCCCTATAGCAAAAATCTTTAAAGAAAAAAAAAAGCATTCTCTTGATAAAATAGTAAATATTAATTTCATTAAGTTTCATCTTTTGTTACCTATCTTTTTAATATTCTATATAACAAAAGGGAAATACACATTAAATACTTCTATTGCTTATCACAATATGAAGACTGTCTAGAGGAAAATCACCAGAGTAACAAGCTCAACTTATCCCCCTTTTCCATAAATTATTTTTTACTTAAAGAATGACTAACATGGGACCAGCAGTTCGTGTAATGGCTATGTCACTGAATTCCCATGTAACTGACAGTAGTTCGAGTCCCGGAACCGGTGACTTAAACTCATGCTGTGTCCATGCGCATGCGTGCCCAAGATCTCGAGAGGATAATGGAGAAAGGATTGTCACGTGGCCATCCCCCATGGGGGGTGATTTCTCACTTTCTCTCTCTCTGTCTCTTTCTGTCTTTCTGGCAAGCGCACACGTTTTTCTGGAAAGCGCACCCCCCCCATAACCAAAAAAAAAAAAAAAAAAAAAAACTCTCCAAAAAAAAAATGACTAATACCAGTTATTACTTATGACTAAACATCTGAAAGATGCTGTCTTTAAAATGAACAAAATGAGGCTATTTTCTTCAAAGGAAAAAAATTGAGAATATTTGTTGTCAACAATAAAAACAGAATTTTCATTTAGAGTTAAAAATTAGAGTATTAAAAAAACTTGTATCTGATGATGTGAATGTAACCACTTCCAAAAATGTAAACGTTTTTCTAATAAGAACAGTGATAATATTAATAAGTGCAAAGTTTTTATATCATATAATGAAGCATATCATTAGTAGATCCACATAACTAAGTGAACCAATATTTTCTAAATGAGCAACACTTGTTAGAAAAATACACGTGGGTAAAACATCCATTCAATGTACAAGATGCACAAATGGATTCTAAAGGAACAGAGAACAAGAAGTTTACTGATATGATTTTAAGTCTCATATTGTTACTATTAACTTTTAGCAAATACTCGAATTTTGCTATAACATCAAAAAAGGAAATCTTCAATGATCTAAAACAACTATTTTATGTTAATAAAATAATACTAGTTGAATTTTTCTGTAGTATCAGAGAAATCTGCAATTATCTAGAAATTTATTAAAATACTCTTCTCTTTACAAGTACATATCTATGTGAGGATAAAATATTTTTAAATACTTCAACCAAAACATCACAATTCAGCTGTCACGTATACAGCTAAACATTAAACAGATATGCAAAAATGTAAACGCCAGTCCTCTCACCAAAATTCCTATTGTTTTGATATACTTTTTATTTAAAAACACGCTACGTATAATAAGTAATCCATTTGCCACCTCTTTTTTTTTAATTATTTTTTAAATATCTGATGCCTAATATAATAAAAACTAATAGGTGTAACTTACAAAAACGAAAGCTCTTTGGGATCCTCAATAATTTATAATATTAGAAAGGACTACTGAGATCAAAAAGTATAAAAACTGCTGGTGCAAGGAATTATAAAGACCTACTTAGTACCCCGAATATCACAGTTATTTGTGGCAGACGACATAATCTCAGGTAACATTACTGTCCTTACTTCTTTATGAAGAAAATCTACAAAAGATAGGTTACCCTGACTTTCAAAGAGCAAAGTAAATTAAGGAATGTATTTATATTGTTATAGCTACAAAATTATTTTATATATACTTCAATCAAACAAAAAGTCTAGTTTTATTTTAAGTGAAAATCGCAGAAAACTTTATTTTACATTGAAAGTAAAATCTGTTCCTTGGGGCCGGCAGGTAGCATGGAGGATAAAGGTGCTGGACTCTCACATGGCCAGCCGTGGTTCAAGTCCAGGATCTGGTGGCTTCCTTTCTCACTTCCCTCTCTCTCTGTCTCTGTCTCTCTCTCTGTCAAATTGGAAAATAATAAATTTTTTAAAGTTAAAATAAAATATAGTCCCAAACTGGCACCAACATATTCCTATCTCTTTTAACTTCAAAATTACTTTCTATAAAATCATTACAAAACAAGATTTTACTAACTGAAGAAAAAAAAATTAATTACCAATCCCATATCATCAGCTAAAATTCCTCCATGGACATTTTCAGGCCGATCTTTCTCAGAAAAATTCGTTATTGTGTTATAGTATAAGTCATTTCGCTGTTCCCAGAATGGTGGAAGTTCTTTACTATTTTCCCGAGAAACCATCCATGATAAAGCTTGTTTCTGATGTGGAAGTAATGGTGTTTCAATAGCCTATAAATAAAATGTCATAAAGAGAAATAAGAGTAAGCTTTATTTTTCACATGAACGTGAAAACAAGTTATGATTTTAAAAAATGTGTAGATTATCAACATACTTAAAAACATCAAGTAGTTTTAAATAGAAAATATTAAACTTAATACCTCAGCAGGTTCCATTTCTTGAGTTTTATCATCTTCTTTTAAATCTTCAAACAATTTGTCAAATTCTGTTTTAAGCTACAATAAATAGCAACAAGAAACACCATGAAACAAACCGATGAAGATAATTGTAGGGCCAGCTCCATAGTCTGTCAGCTAAGGAGCTAGATCCCACAAGGTCAACCATGTGGTTTGAATCTTAGCTCAGTGGCTTAGAAAACATGCCAGGCACATATGCACAGATGCTCAAAATCTTAACAGGATGGCAAAAGGAGAAGAAATTATGGCATGACTAGGCGCTACTGGGAGATGTTTTCTCCTCCTATTTAATGAGTGTATATATATCCTGACAATTTAAATATATAAATAAATAACTGTACTTAACTCAAAAGATTCCAAATTACTTAATTAACTAAGAGTCAAATGCCAAAGGCACATGAAATAGCTCTTTGACATACTTCCTTATTCATGAAGGTAGAATAAACAGATAAACTATATTATACTTGAAGGAATACAGAAAAGAGAGTCCTGGGTTTATGCTACAATATACTGCTACGTATTACAAAATACTATGATAGTTTCATTTCACGGTAATTTAGCTATTTAAATCAATTTAGTACAATTTTATAGCAATCTATATGTTATAATTATTTCTGCAAATGGTCACACAAAATCATAGCAACAGTAAGCAAAAAATCAGGCCAGGCCTAAAAAGTTAGGAAAGGAAACCTGAAGTTTGAAGATGCTTAAGTCCTTCTTATAAAAAGCAAGAAGAGTAAGTTAACTATAATTAGAAGATAAAAGGGCAAATACCAGTGTGTAGAGGCAATAAAAGTTTTAATGTTTATTTTTAAATTGATTTGCATTAATTTACATACTTTTTTCCAAACTAACTCAGCATAACTGTACTCTAGACTACAAACTGGACCAAGAAAGAACTAGGGTAATGTTAAAGATTTGCAGTTAATTTTTTAAGTATTACATTTGCAACCTTACTGATGGGAGAAAAGAGAAAGTTTCAAATTTCAATTGTGTGTCTTTTTTTTTAAATAACTACTTGGTCATCTTAAAATGTCAAATACAAAATATCCCAAACATATGGCCATGTGCATCATATCATCTTACCTATGCATGTTCATGCATGGACATATTCCTTATCACCATTTTCCCATAAGTATTGCAAATACATGTTCTATGTATTCTATAGTTCAATGGAACTTAATAAAATCCCTGAGGATTACTAATATTGGTATTACTAATATTGGTAATAACCCTATTCCTTTAAACACCAAACTTCGACATTAAAAATTTACTTTTAGATTACAAAATAAAAGAGAAGTACACCTGTTCAGTTGTCATCTGTACTGCAGCATGAACCGGCATACTATAGCTTGGCCCAGCTCTTCCAGAGCCCCAGGCACTTTCCAAAGTGAATCCAAAAGCTGTAATAGTTACAAATAAATAAATAAATAAATAACACCACCAAATGAAATAGGTTATCTTTTTATACTAAGTTGCATTAAAAATCCTATATTTAATTTTTTTATGCTCAATCCTAAATCATTCAAAAAACACATTATTAAGCACAATATGTGAACAAATTCTTAATCACCAAACAATAAAATAAATCCCTTTTCATTTCCTATTAGAAGATTCTTTTTGTCTGAAGCTTCTCAAGAAAGAATGCTTAAAATATCGATTTCAGATATTCCCACTGGGAGGAAATACATGAGTGTGTGTAAATTTATACTTATTTCAAAATAAAAACAAGGAAAAATTAGAGATTTCATCAAAATGACTATAAAAAGAAAGTTATAACCTGGAGATTTCAACACAAGTAAGTCTGGCCAATCAACCAAATTTGAACACATTTATTTAAATGTTTTACAACCCCGGCATCTTATAATATCAAAATAATGTAAAGTGAAACCCTAAACTTACTTTTTGGTGCAGGACCCAATTTAAATCCATGTTTCTTCAACTGATCTAAAACTGCTTTTCTATTGTCTTCTTTTCCCCATAAAGTCATATGCAGAGGCATGGTAAAGGCATTGTTAGCACCAAACGGGACTACCCTATTCGGGAGGGGAAAAAAAAAAGAAAATTAGGAGTGTTCATTTTTTTTTTTTTGACTTGTTAAGAATCTGTTAAATATTCTAGGTATGCCAAATTCTGTATCAAAGTAAAAGAAGAAGGACCTAGGTGGGCAGAACTTAGAAATAAAGAACAGGGAACAGAATAAGTAATAACCAGTTAGGAACAAAATTCCCAAAGAAAATGAAGATAGAATAAAGCAGTGTTAAGATACAAGGAAAGCCTATAAGCAAAAATGTAAGGTAAGTAAAGTAGCAAATTTAATAGAGAATAAGACTGCCTAACAGAATCACACTAAGGATAGTGATTCTGCTGAAAGGATGGGGAATAATTAGAGCTCTTTTTGATCCAGGACTCACTAAGTTTGTTTTAAATATCTGAAAAACTTGATGAATTCAAAAAAGGAGAGAACCAATAAAATGCGACATTCCTAAGCATTTGTTTTGTCTTCAAACTCATCTAGGTTAGGATATGAATATGTTAAACAGTAGGATAGAGTATCCTAAGTTATATAAATATTTATATTGAGATAATGTATATATATGCTTTAAAGAAAAAAAGTTAACCAAGAAGAAAGAGAATTTAAAAAAGAAAGTGGTGGTAGAAGTGGGAGAACATATTCTCCAACTAAAAAACAGTTACTACTCAGTTCCAGTCAACTATTACCAGGTAGAAATGGGAGATTCAGCATTGCCAGAACTTCCATTTGTAAACAGAAAATTTTTAGTTAATAAGTTTTATATTTAAGGAAAAAATTAATATTTGTAAAATATAGAGCATCTAGATATTTGAATATTGGACACAAATGAAAAAGTTTCAAAAACACTACAGAAAATAAAACTCACCTTAAAAAATAAGAAAGAAAATGAAACACATATATTTGATCAGTCTACCTGATAAAATCTGATTATTTACCACCTCTTGATTTAAATACTCGCAAACTCCTAAAGCTATGCACCAAAAGGCTTGAGGAGATGGAATTTATTTCCAAATATTTGAACCAAAGTCTATTTTTCTCCACAATGTATAACTCAATAGGAAAAGGAGAGGATGCTATTTGATGGCTGAGCTAATAATGGTAGAGGGAAATGAAAACATTTATTGAACACACACTAAGGGCATAATGATAACAGGTGTCAGCATAGTTGTACAGATTCTAAGAGGACGCTCTAACCAGTTTAAAGATGACAACTCGCAATTACTAAAACTAAACCCTAAAAGTACATTACCCTTCAACTTGTGCCAATTTGTTGTCCATGATATAGGCCAAAGCAGCTGCAAGATCTTTTTTTAAATGGCCAACCTGATTTCCATTCACATTGTTTACTTTAATCGCATTCTTATCATAGGGGTTATGAGGCTCTCGTTGTAAAGCAACCATTTCATTATTATTGACCTAATAAAAACAATAAACAAGTATTATAATGTACAAACAAAAGTTTATCTTAGTTTGAGATTTTCATTTTTTTCATACTACTGCCAAACAATGCACATTTTAAAAAGTATATTTTCTTGAACTAAAACTACAGAAATATTAAAGAATGTATTTCATAATAATTTCTTTATACTGCTTTTCTAAAATATTCATTGGGAAGTTAAAAAATACTTAGTATATAAATATGTAGTCAATCTAGCAGATTCACATTGTCTAAAATTTTCAACATCATAACTTTGGAAAAATAGCTAACCTTGATTAAATGCTTACTACACGCCAAGCTTTATTCTAAGTATACTGTATAGGTTGACTTCTTAAATCCTCACAACCCTACTGGTACATATTACTATTATCCCTTTCATGGCTGAAGAAATTAAAGCATAGGAAAGTTAAGAAACTTGACCAAGGTCACAGAGCTAATAAGTAACAGAATTAGGTTTTTAACCAAGGGAGGTTAGTTCTTGAGCCTGAATTCTCCAAACTATAAAGAAGGAAAAAGGCATTTATAATAAATCAGAAAAAAACTAAAATAAGAAAACACACTATGTGTTCAAACTTATGCCATTCTCTAGCTCAACTTGATTAAAAACTGTGTCAAGGTGATAAAAAAAATGACACAATAAGGTCTTTCAAAAATTCACTCCTCCATAAAAGGAACAAAAACAAAAAACCAGTGTGGGTCAGTCAGTGGCATAGTGGTTAAGACAGACGGAAGCCACAGGACCAAGTGCACAGTTCAAGTCCAAAACCCAGTGGCTTAAAAAACACTAGACACATGTATATGTGTGCCCAAAATCCTGAGAGGAGAATGGAGAAGGAATTGCAGTGTGGCCATCCTTCCCAAAGGGTGCTTTCTTGTTTCTCCCCCTTGGTCTTTCTGTCTCTCTCCAGCAAACACACATACCATGTAGCAACAAATTAAAGGGAAAAAAATAAAGCTGAATATTGGTGCTAGTTCCATGCATAGTACTCTAACTACACAGTAGTCTTTAAAACTAACAGCCTACTATTAGGTCATTGAAAAGTCATGATGCATTTTTGCATAGAAACAGAAAAACACGTCATGACTTTCCCAACAATCCAAATTAGTCTAGCAGTCACCAGAAGGAAAATTAAGTTATAGCTCTTTCAGATTCATTCATTTGAACTGTCTGATGGGTTCCTAAGCTCTCACCTCTCACTGAACTTAAGTCATTTAAACAAGCAGCACATGACGATGAAGTGTTCAAAGAGTGCCCCAACCCATACTTTCAGCACAGACTGACCAATAAGCTGAGTACAGACTCTAGTGCCTCACATAACAAAACACAGGAATACAGAATTACTTCAGGAAAGTCACCAACAAATACTAATTACCAAAATCAGTAACAAAAAGGACCTCAAAAAGACAGGAGAATCTGATCCCCAGAGTTGCCACATTATTTAAAATGTCCATTTTTTCAAGAAAAATGTACAAGCCATACAAAGAAATGAGAAAATGTGGCTTACCTAGGGAAGTAATCACTATAAACTGTCCTAAGTGACAATATACAACGAAGTAGGAAACGTTTTTTAAAAAATTGTATTTGTGATACAACACGTGCACATGCATGTGAGAGTGAAAGATAAGTCCTCTTCACAGGATCTGCGGATGTAACCCCGTAATTCCCTTCCTTAGCCTGTCAGACCTTGGACACTCATGGGTATGCCCAGGGTATTTCAGGCTGACTGGGCTCACCATATGAAATCTTGCTTCTCTAGAGCAAAATATTACTGCTGTGCCACAGAGTCAGTACTAGAAAATGAATTTAGACTCACCAAATTTGAAGATAGGTCAATTGAGACTATACAATCTGAGGAACAGAAAGAAAAAAGAATGGAAGAACATAAAGAGAGCCTCAGTGACCTGAGGCTTGACCTCATTATCAAGCACACCAACACATACTTAAGTAGTTTACCAGAAAGAAAGGGAAGGAGGCAGAACAAATTTGTGAACAAATTATGTCCAAAAATGTCCCAAGTTGATGAAACATTAATGTACATATTAAAAACTACAAACTCCGAGTAAGATGAACTCAGAGTTCTGTACCTGTATACACACACTTAACAATCAAACTGTCAACAAAAAGCAGCTCTTCGGAACAGCAAAAAAGAACCAATTCATCTCATACAAAAGATTCTCAAATAAGATTAACATCTGATTTCTCATCAGAAACTATGGAGGCCAAAAGGCAATGGGTAATTTTTTGCAGCACGGAAAGAAACAAAATTTATATGTGGCAAACCTACCCTTCAAAAATGGAGAAGTGAGACATTCCCAGAGAAACAAACAAAATTGATCACTAGCAGCCCTGACTATAAGAAATACTAAAGGAAGTTCTTTGGGCTGGAATTAAATGCAAAAGTAATTTAAATCCAAATGAAGAAATTAAGAGTACAGGTAAAGACAATGACAGGTAAAAAAACAATATGAATGTATTTCCATTTTTTTTCTATCTGACTTAAAAATATATAAACAATAATTACAAGCAGAAGACATGATTGTATACATAAAAGATCCAATGGTTTCCATGAAAAAATTCCTGGAAGTCATACATGAATACAGTAAAGCTGCAGGATACAAAATCAACATAAAGAAATCTACAGCATTTCTATATATGAACAACAGGCAGACTTAGATAGAATTGAAAAGTTATTCCATTTACCATAGCCACAAAAAGTATAAAATATTTAGGAATAAATCTAACCAAAGAAGTTAAAGACTTACACAAGAAAAAACTACAAGAAGCTAAAAAAAAAAAAAAAAAAAAAATTGAAAATGACACAAAAATGTGGAAGGACATCCCATGTTCCCGGATCGAAAGAATTAATATAATCAAAATGGCAATTCTACCCAAATTAATCTACATATTGAATGCAATCACAATCAAAGTACCAGACACATTCTTCACAGATCTAGAAAAGACAATCATAAAATTTGTCTGGAATCATAAAAGACCTCATATTGCCAAAGCAATCTTGCACAAGAAGAATGGAGTGGAGGGCATCTCATTCCCTGACCCAAAAATATACTACACAAAGCTGTGGCAATCAAAACAGCATGGTACTGGCACAGAAATAGACAGGTGGACCAATGGAACAGAATAGAGTCCCCAGAAATAAATTCCCAAACATACAGTCAACTGATTTTTGACAAGGGGTACCAGTCAATCCAGGGGGAAATGGTGCTGGAAAAACTGGATTTCCACCTGCAGAAAGATGAATCTGAACGCCTACCTCTCATCTTGACAAAAATCAACTCAAGGAAGATCAAAGATCTAAACCTAAGGACCTCAAACTATAAAACTGCTCCTGGAAAACACTGGGGAAACTCTGGGAGACAATGGGGTAGGCAAAGAATTCTTAAATAAGACCCCAAAGCATAGTCAATAACCCCCAAAATAGACAAGTGGGATTATTATCAGACGAAGAAGTTTCTGCATGGCAAAAGACACAGTAATCAGTGTGAATCGACAGCCCTCGGAATGGGAAAATATTTTTGTAAACTATGTGTCACATAAGGGACTGATAACCAGAATATACAAGGAACTCAAGCAGCTGTTTGAAAAAAGATGATCAACCTTATTAAAGGATGAGAGAATTAGTTGAAAAAACTACTCTCTAAGGATGACATACAAATAGCCAAAAGGCATATGAAAAAATGCTCAACATCCCTCATTGCAAGAGAAATGCAGATCAAAACAGCGAGATATCACCTAACCCCAGTCAGAATGACTAAGATTAAAAAAACAAAAGGATACGTGCTGGCAGGGGTGTGGTGAAAGGGGAACTCTCTTACACTGCTGGTGGGAACTATCATATGATCCAGTAATCCCACTCCTTGGCATCTACCCAAAGAACAGAAGAATTCTTAATCAGAAAAGTGCTTGCACATCGATGTTTATTGTGACACTATACACTATTCACAATTGCTAAGACATGGAGCCAACTCAAATGCCCATGAACAGATAATGGATTGAAAAACTGTGGCACATATACTCCATGGAATACTATTCAGCCATGAAAAACAACAACAACAACAACAAAACCCTGCTTTTGACAGAAAGTGGAAGAATATGGAAGATTTACTGCTGAGTGAAGCAAGCCAGGCTATGAAGGAGAGACATTGTATGTTTCCACTTAATATATACTGAGTGTCCGCACTCTATGACAGAAACTGATTGACTAAAAGATACACAGTAAATGGATGTGAATACCAGATACAGTGTGTAAAAAGTAGAGTTAGAGGAGGGACATTTAGAATAAAAACAGAGGCAAAGCATTAATGGGACAAAGAAATGTGGTATTAACTGTTGAAGATAATTTTATAGTTTTATCAGCTGAACTAGGGAGAAATGTTCACATGTTGGAATATTCACTTTGTAAGCTAAATGTGATTGAACGTATACAAAAGAAAATGAAATAAAAAAAAAAAAGTAGAGTTAGAGGAGGGACATTTAGAATAAAAACAGAGGCAAAGCATTAATGGGACAAAGAAATGTGGTATTAACTGTTGAAGATAATTTTATAGTTTTATCAGCTGAACTAGGGAGAAATGTTCACATGTTGGAATATTCACTTTGTAAGCTAAATGTGATTGAACGTATACAAAAGAAAATGAAATAAAAAAAATATTAAATTTATGTTGCTGGACTTAAGATGTATATATAAGGACGTAATTTAGGGCTGGTTCCATAGGACGGGTGTTAAGGGCCATGCATTGGGAGCCAGATCCTACATGGTCAACAATGGTTTGAACTCTGATCCCAGCAACTTGAAATACATGCTGGGCACATGTGCCTGTATGCCCCAAATTCTGACAGGCTCAATAAATGGAGGAAAAAGGGTTGACACATGACCACACTCCCGCACTAGGGCATGCTTTTTTTCTGTCTCTTGTGAGCATTCATGCCCTCAGGCAATTAAAAATAATAATAACTGTCATTTATTTCAAATAACAGTAATTACTAGTAAAATTACAAATAGAATACACATAGGATATAACACTGGAAGCTAAAAAAACAGAAAACATTGTCCCAGCAGCAATGCATATATTTTTTAAAAAAAGGAGGAAGACAAAAGTACTGACTCAAGTAGTACCTGAATTATGCTGAGTAAAAGCCAGAATTAAGATAGTACACTGCAGGGGCCAGCAGGTGGTATGGTGGTTAAGGATGCTGGACTCCCACGTGGTCAACCATGGTTTGAATCTCAGACCTGGCGGCTTGTTTCCTCACTTTCTCTCTCTGGTCAACTTAAAAATAAGTAAATAAGGGACCAGCAGTTAGTGTAATGACTATGTCGCTGGACTCCCACGTAGTCGACTGCGGTTCGAGTCCCAGACCTGGTGGCTTAAAACTCACGCCAGGTGCGTGTGCGTGCGTGCCCAAGATCCCGAGAAAAGCTCAGAAGTGAACATGAGAACAGGTAGATATGAAACAAAAACTAATAGATTTAGTAAAGAATTATATAGAACAAACAAAATCATTTCAAAAATAAAAACAAAAGTAGAATAACACGAGTGAATACATCTTGTAAAAAACATGGTACAAGAAATAAATGATCAAAAACAGAAAAGTGAAAGTGATAAAATGATTTTCAGAGGAAATAACAGATTTAAAGGTAGAGATCTCATAGAGAATGAAGTACCAGAAGAAAAAAAACAAGATTTAGAATAAAGCAAACATTTATTAATGTATTTGTTTATTATCAAGGGGCACGTGCACTCACCAGAGACAAGGAGAAAGTACTCACTAAGAGCCTTGGTCAAACTGCAATCACTTCTCCCTTTTTCCATCTCATCGGCATCTTTGACAGACACACACACACACACACACACACACGTACAAAAACACCTAGCGTGTTATTCAAGCCACCAGAGCTAGGATGTGAATCACGGTTTGCAATGTGGCAGCTTGCTCCTTTAACTGCTAGGCTATGTGGCCAGCCCTAAAGCAAACATTTGAAACTATTACAGAAAATTAGTGAAACTAGAAGAAAACGAATTTACAGATAGTCAACACTAAGACATACACAGATGAAACTATTAGGAAAGTTTCAAGATAGGAAAAATACCTTTTTACTCAATCAGACAAAAAAATTCTAATCCACTTAAGTGGAAGAAAAAGTAATATTGGCATCAGAATTCTTTCTAACAACATTTTATGCAATATTAGGATATGGAGAGAAAATAAGAATCAAGGACTTTACATTAGGCCAAACTGCCCTTTGACTATAAAATGTCATCACAATTATGGGCATATAGAAACTCAGAAAATACTGCTCCCTCCTAAGTAATCTCCTAGACAACACATTTCGAACGGTCAAAATAATTTGAGAAGCTCCAAAATAAAGAAAATATGAGAGAATGAAAGACTAGAAAAATATGGGACATGGAATTCTTTTCCAAGGAAACTCCTGCATCAAAAAACCAAAAACAAAAAAATTTGACAAGTTTCAACACAGAAAAGTATGGAAGAACTAACAAATCTAGAATATTCTACAAAAATTGACCTTTTTTTGCAACAAATCAAATGACACAATGACATGAAAAAAAGTATGTATAAAGAGGGAGGAGATCTGGCGGTTCTTATACACTTATGAGCCATAATAATCAAAGACAATGTATAAATGTTATTTTGATCCTGATTCAATATAATCAATCATAAAGACATTTAAAAATAATCAAGAAGATCAAACTATAAATTAGTTATTAGATACAGTAAAAAAGTATTAATTTTAAGTATAAAAATGACATATAAGAAAAATGTCTATTTTTCAGAGATACATACTGAATTATATAAATGTAATTTATGTAATTGGGATTTGTTTTAGTACAAAAGGACAAAACAAAAAAAGGGATGAAGTACGAGCAAAAAAACTTTTAACTGTTAAAGCTGATTCATGGGTATGTAAAAATTTTCCATACTATTCTACTTTTATGTATGTTTGAAATTTTTCATAAGATATTAGAGGTTTACAAAGATAACTACTGACCACAGAAAATTATGTATTCTCAATCTATCTCTCATACACACAAACACAATGGAAAAAATAGAGCTAGACAATGATAAACACAGGAAGAAAAGGCGGGAAATAGTCGTTTTTGTGGTTTTTTTTTTTTTTTAGAGTCAAGGTCTCACTAAGTTACCCTGGCAAGCATCCAACTCCTGTTCTCCTAATCCAACATCCTTGAGTAGCTGAGAATACAGGTGCAAACTACTGTGTATAACTTGGAGACAGTCTTATTATCAAAAAAAAGGAACCAAAAACAGACATTCCTTTACCTTATAGGATTATAGGAGCTAATCTTCCTAAATAAAAAATATCGGGGCTAGCAGGTAGTGTGGTGGTTGTTGCTAGACTCCCACATGGCTGACTGTGGTTCAAGTACCGGAACTGGCAACTTGCTTTCTCACTTTCACTCCTCCCCTTCTTTCTCTGTCTTCCCCTGGTGAATGTACATGCCCTATAGCTAACTCAAAAAATAATAATAATTAAATTAAACTAAAAATTCTTTAAAAAAAAAAAAATTAAAGTACAGAAATGTCCTGAGAGGGAGTAGAGAAAGCATTGGACTTGGAAGTCATTTCCCAAATTTACCACATACTACCTGAGCATTTTACAGTATCTGTTCATTTTGGGCAAATCTTTTAACTTTTGGGAGCTTTAGTTCCTCAGTTATACAAACATGGTAAAAGATTTCCTATCTACCACTTATCAAATGACACTGCAGGCAAAAAAGGCTTTGTATATTGTAAACATGATAAAAATGTAAAAGTGTATTAGTCAAAATAATTGAAGCATTTGTAATCTCTTGAATACGTATATTTCAATTACTTAAAAAAATAAATACTAAGTGTACATATCGCCTAAAATTCTTATTTTCTAGATTAACACCATAATATTTTACAATTTAGCTTAGCAACTACTGTTATACTCACTACTCCAGTGTAATAGCGTAGTCCAACCACGTGACCTCTCAGTGTTCCAAATAAAACTGAATCTAGTTCTTCATCACTAGTTAGGAAGTCATCTGGAGGGATAATATCTTGGAATTCAAACCGTGGAAAGAAAGTTGGATATGAGAGGCGTGGAAAATTTCCACTGGTTCCATACTGGACAGTCTGCAAGTATTTCCAAACAGGGTCCCTATTTAAAAAGGAACAGAAAAAAAAACACAAAAAAATATATAAACTTTAACCAAATATTTCTCAAAGTATTTAGTGCTCAACGGTTATCTCAAACTTTATTTTAGCAAATGAAATCTTAGGAGGTAATCAGCATCATCTATTGGTCTGGCTAAAGCAGAACTGCAGTATGTGGAAAAGGCTTCCAGAAACCCTACCTGTTCAACAGTGGCTCTTCTATACCTCCAGGTATTCAAAATGAAAAATCCAGCAAGTGTTCCCAAATCTTTCTTTACTGAAAATCATCTATTTAAATTGAAACGTATGTGATGTCTTTAATTACAATTATATGCCAAAATCTCAATGGGGACTAAGAAGAGATTTGCAAAAATAACACCTTTATATGAAGCCGTTTCCAATTTTTCGGTGAACACGTTCAGCACTTTAATGCCCTTCCGAACAAGAACATGTGTTTTATTTATATTATTCAGGTATCAAAAACTACACCATCATGAGCAATTTACGCCAACTCCATCCCTAACTCATTCCTCGCTGGTTTGACGGTCATCCCAATCCCTTTATGGACAACTGTTTCCTAAGTGGCCATGAGCGGATTTGGACACTAGAAATTGAGAGGAAGTCTGCGGTGACTCTCACGAAGTTGCCATTCTCTTAAGAACAGGTAGTCTCTATTTATCCTGCGCTTTCTGTGCTCGTCGCCTAAACCTTTTCCAGCAAGTCTGCAAACCCTCGTACGCATTTACGCGTCTGTACAAGAACATAAAAACTATCAACTTCTTAGGGGCGAGGGCTGTCTTACTCGGCTCTATTGCAAGTGCGATGTCTACCACAGAGTGGGTATCTAAGGGATGTTTCGTCGAATAAAGCCCTGGCCGTGAGACGTGCCCCCCCATCCCAGTCCGTGACAGAGATTTCCCAAGGCCCTGGCACGAGACTCCTCTGAGGAATCGCTCCTCGCCAGTCAAGACAATGCGTTTATTCCTCCCGCGGGCACACGAGCGACCAGCAGAAAGGACACGAGCTGCACAGATCACACCAGGAAGGCGGGGAAGGTCAGGTTCATCTGGGGACGCCGCCAAGCCGTTAGCCCAAGCGCCCCACCCCCTCGGCCCCCTTCACCTTTTAAACATCCAGGACATGGCGTTGACTGGAAAGACGAGGGAACGCCTGAGCGTCCCGGGATTGTTCTTGTGCCGCCTCGATATGCCTCCTTCAAGGCCCCGCAGCCTAAGAGCCGGGCCGGAGCAAGAGCGCAGAACCTAAGTGAGACGCCGCGAGCCCAGTCAGACGACGACGCGCTCTTCTTCTAGCAACAATCTGAGAGCCCGGCTACGCTATGTGACTGGCACTAGGAACGTCCAATCCCGAGGAGAAGCCTGCGGAGACGAGCCAATCAGGAGACGAAAGGGAGGGTAACTCCGCCCCGCGCTGCGATTCAAAGACGGCGGGGGGTCCCCGCGCTAGGGCGGTTCCATCCGGGTTCTTCCCCGCCCCCAAGGCGGGCGCGCGGGAAAGCCACGCGGCCGCGAGAGCACGACTACGGTGCCAGTAGTGTCGGCGTTTTCTTTTTGATTTTCTGCCTAGGACAGAGGGAGCCGACCATTTTCCGCTATTTCCCCAAAGTCCTAGGAGGCAGCCTTGTTCTTCGGGCCCTTCCTCACCCTGTCTCTCATTTTCTCGTCATGTGATGTGACTGACACCTAGTAGGGAGAAGGCTCCAGGATTTAGGCGACCTGGAGCTTCCAGAGTCACTGTACTTCCCTTGTGCTGAAATTGGGGACTTAGGCCCTACATTTTCATTTTAAGCCTCACTAGCATCTCTATAGGTCACACCGAATCATAAAACCTTAATTGGAATTTGATTATAGAGTCTCCCTATCACCTCTTTTGGTGGTTTTTAAGGAAAATGTTCATTTCTGAGCACCACAAAATGAATAACGCTGTGGGCGACTGCTGGAAGTGGTGGGCGGGGCTCGCTTCCTGATTGGCACACGGTGCCCAGGCCAAGGAGGGAAGCTCATCCGCGGGGATCCGCCGCGGGCGCTCCAACGCATTCTGTGAGTTGACATGAAGGAGCCTTTGGCCTTGGGACAGTGGCCACCAATGAGGCCTGGCGGGGCTGGTCCTTGTGCCTTGGGGCTCTGAGAGGAGCCTGGGGCAGCAGCGCACAGGCATAGTAAGCTGCTGGTGGCAGCTGCTGGTGGCGCTGGAGTGCGGGTACAGCCCTGTGCAAGGTCAGAAGGGCATTTCCGACAAAGGAAATGTAGTTGTAAATATAATAGATATTGATACTTGCCTTCACATAGTGGTCCACTTTACACTCCTCTCTGCAGAGTATGAGAGGTGGTAAAACAGTTTTTTGGTTTTTGCCTTAGGGCACATGGGCTTCTGGGAGAGAGAGACAGAGACAGTGAGAGGGAAAGTGAGAAGTCACCCTCCCTTCTGCCCCCAGAGCCACATAGCAATCCCTTTTCATCCATTCTCCTCCTGGGATCTTGGGCACACAAACACACAGGCCCTGTGTGATTTTTTTTCTTTCCTTTTTTTTTTGGAGAGAAATTTTTGCTGTAGGGTACGTGTGTTTGCCAGAGAGACAGAAAGCAGGTAATCACCCACACACACACACACACACACACACACACACCCGGAAGAAATAGCCATATTGGCAGTCCCTTGTCCTCCATTATCCTCTCAGGATTTTGGGTACACACCCACATGCCCCTGGCATGAGTTTTAAGCAGCTGAGTCTGGGACTTGAACCATAGGTCGACGTGGGAGTAACCATGACATCATCTGCTGTTCCCACACCCAGCATGATTTTAAACCACTGGGTCTGGGACTAGGACCAGAGTCTACCGTGTGGGAGTTCAACGACGAATCTCTACACCATCTGCTGGTCCCATAAAAATTTTTCAGTAAGTGATTGTTCAGGATAGGCTTCCTGTCCAGACCACTGGAACCCAAATGGCCAATCTGCATTCAGAATCTTCAGAATCCCACCCCAGCAGCTTGACAGAAATCTAGATGTGTGTGCTCAAAATCTCTGCAGGAGGTAGAAATGGAGAAGGGCTAGCCTGTGACTATGCCTCTCTTGGGTGGGTGGGTGGGAAGGGGTGCTTCTACTCCCATGATCCCTCCACTGTGTGTGTATGGGTATCTGGAAAAAAGAAAAAGCAAGAAAAATAAGCATAGCTGCAGCAGCATTTGTTCACTATTGGATCCATACCTTGGTGCAGCAGTAGTGTGCTGTTCTGTGCACTGCTGACCCACATGGCAAGTTCCGGGCTCTGACCTGCATAACTCCCCTGCATAGCCAAGGTTTTCATGTGAACATGATCAGGTTGGATGACTCTGGAGGTGGACTATAACATGGGGACCCTATTGGGGGGTGCCTGGCTCTCTTGTCTCTCTTGCTCATGGAAAAGATAAATAGACTTTAAGAATATTGATAGCAATGTTAAGTAAACTACGTTGATCTGTAGCCATGAACGAGCGATGGAAAAGAGCAATGGAATTTGAAGCAATTTTTACTTCCTTTGACAAACAGAAGGAAGTTGATGAAAAAAATGAAAAAATGGCATTCAAATTACTTTGATCATTTTATTAATACTTTATTTCTTGAAGCATTATGGGCAAATGGCAATGCAGGTAAAGTTTTAGTGTGGCATATTCTGTATAAATTCTTGAGAAATATGCCAGAAATGCACAGAGTGTTTTTGGTACAAAATGAAGCCATGCTCATTGGACTGAAAAATAACATTTGAAATGTGGAAAATGTTACTCTTTCAAGACTTAAAGTCTATGAATAACTATCCCATGGCTAAAGAGTAGTATGAATGAAGTAAACATTGCCATTTAAAGTTGACACCTTATTCCATATTATATCCCAGAACCAGCACTGAATTTGAACATTCTTTCATTTAATCATTTTTTTATTCTTTTTTTCTAAACAATCAGTGCAATTTGTTCTAGTTGAGCTAAAATGTTTCAACAATTAGAAATTCACGACTATCACTATAGATGTTTGCTGAAAAAGGAATATTTGTAACTAGAAAAAGAACTGCGGCACCAGCAGTTAGCGTAATGGCTATGTTGCTGAACTCCCATGCAGTCAACTGCAGTTCAAGTCCCTGAACTGATGGCTTAAAACTCATGCTGGGTGCGTGTGCGTGTGTGCCCAAGATCCCAAGAGGAGAATGGAGGAGAAGGGATTGTGGTGTGGCCATCCCCCCTGGGGGGTGATTTTTTCCTTTCTGTCTCTCTGGCGAGCACATGCGCCTTATAGCAGAAACCTCTCAAAAAAAAAAAAAAAAAAGAACTGCAAGATGACTTGTATGGTTGGCCTGATGATAAGGAAAGTATGGCAGAAAAAGAGAATGGTGGGAGAGATAAGGGCCAGATTACTTAGAAATTCATGGTGTATGATAAAGTTTGTATTTGATTTTAAGTGCAAATGGAAAGCCATTTACTGTTTAAGCAAGAGAAAAATTATCTGATTTAGATTTTTAAAAATTCATTCTGCCAGCTTTGTAGAGAATAAATGACTAGAAACAAGAATAGAACCAATTAATAATTAGGAAACTACTGTGTACAGGTAAGAGATGATGGTGGATTGAAATGAGGAGGTGATGAAGCTAGAGAACTAACAGGTATACTGATAGATTTGGGTATGGGTGACGAGGAAGGGGAAGAAATCCAAAATTCCTCAGCCGTGAAGCTCCCAGTCACACAAACACTTTCTCATCTGCTACCCTCCCACCCCCCCACACCCTTTATGCAAATTAACCATGTGACTTCCCTGTTTGATTTGGTGAGCATGAACTACAAAAACAGCATGTGTTCTATTTATAAATCTGTCCCCTCCTTCTCACTGGAGCTTCTTATTTCCTGTTCCTTCCCAACCTACCCTGCCTGCTATGGGTTGGATAATGGTTTATCACCCAAAGCTCCATGTTTTAGAATTTGGTTCTTAGTGTAATGACAGTGGGATGTAATGAGACCTCTCAGAGGTGAGGCTTACTGGGCAGTGATTGCCTTGAGAGTCCAGCTCTCCTGAGAAGTGATTTGTTCCTGAAAGAGTGAGTTATTATAAAAGGAAAATGGCTGCCCCCAGCTCAAGCTCAGTCTCTCTGCATGTGCCTGCCATCCTCTCTGCTTCCATAAGCCATGTTGTGACACAGGCCAGCTCAATGCTGGCCCCACACCTTAGACCTTCCAGCCACCAGAATCATGAGCCAAATAAATCTCTATCTTTAAAATCACAGATATTTATGTTAGTAATACAATACCAGCTAAGTTACTGCATACATTGGCCTTCACTAGTTTTTCTGAAACCTGTATTTTCACATATAAATTATAAGGCCATTATCACATCTAATGATTAATAATAAATAAATCTTTAGTACCTTCTAAGAACTAAATCATAGTCAAATTTTCAAAATTGTCTCAAAAAATGATTTTACAGTTTATTTGCAAGAAGGAATTTCAAAATCTTAGGGGTGGGACTTTTAAGAATCCGAATATGCAAAAATCTGACTTCAATACAAAAACTTCAAAGTTTATATCATAACTAATAGAATCTCAAAAAAAGCATAAAGATGTAAGAGCTTACTTGTTGGCTTGCTTTTTTCACCAAAAATGAAATAAAGTTCAGTGGAGTAGGAGAATGTTTCAGGAATAACACATAGGAGGGGCCTGCAATGCTATCACACTGGGCTAAGGCACAAAGAGAGGTGTGATGGCCTGAAAAAGTTTCTGGAGATGGCATAAGAAAAGGAAAATGGGACCAGCAGATGGCGTAGTGGTTACATCATTGGACTCCCTCATGGCAGACCATGAGTCCGGTCTTGGACCCTGTGACTTTAAAATCATGCCAGGCACATGTACATGCATGCACAGGATCCCAGAAGGAGAATGGAGGAGAAGGGATTGCAATGTGGCCATCCCCCAGGGGGTAACTTCCCACTTTATCTCCCACTGTTTCTCTCTCTCTCTCTCTCTCTCTCTCTCTCTTGCGCGCACGCGCATGCATGCACACACGGTCACACGTGTCCTAAAGCAAAACAAACAAACAAAAAACTCTAAAAAAAGGAAAAAGAAAGAAGGAGAAGAGAAGAAAAGAGGGCTCTGTCACATTTCCGAGACAGTAACTACGGATTCTACAGATCTTAGAAACCAGAGCTGTAAGAGAGCAAATGTGAGAGAGGTGGCTCTGTTAAGGGGCCAAGTGCAACCTTATGAGGTCCCCATTGAGTCTCTGATACTGTAAAGGCTGAAGACCATCAGATCACAGTTCAAGTAAGCCAAGGGAAGAGGTGGTCCCTAACAAAGAAGTGGGATG